AAAATTATTTCATTGCTCATTCCTTTGGTTTGGACCTCTATACCTTCCTCTATCCCAATAACTTTTAAGTTTGGTCTTTTTTTGCTATCCCAAATTTCTTGGATGTTCTGCTCGTGGTTTCTTAACAATCTCTCTGATCTTTCTACACTCTTTTCAAGATGATATACTTTGTCTTTGTTGTCTGATGTTCTGTCTTCTAAGTGTTCTATCCTGCTGGTGATACTCTCATTTGAGTTTTTAATTTGGTTTATTATTTCCTCCATTTCCAGGATTTCTGTTTTTTTTTGTTGTTGTTGTTGTTTGTTTGTTTGTTTTGTTTAACCTCTATCTCCCTGTAGAGTTGATCTTTTGCTTCTTGGATTTGTTTATGTAATTCATTGTCAAAGTGATCTTTCTTTGTCTGCATTTCCTTTCTAATGTCTTCCTTGAGACTCTAGATCATCTGACCCATGTATATCATGAAATCTTTATCTGACATTCTTTCTGTTGTAGATGTCATCTCTCTAATGTTGAATTGTCTTGCATTGTTTGTGGTCCTTTCTTTTCTTGTTTTTTCATGTTCCTCACATTTCTTTTCAGCTCTGTGTGACTGTTGGGTTATTGTTTTTTCCCCTATAGGTTTTATTGCTCTTGTATAGTTTTGATCTCTCCTTTGTGATGGGAGACAATGTAAACAATTCCCAATATCAACTATACATCATTTATGAGCTAGTTTTTGTTATTAATATATTTATAGTTAGTCCCTATGTCTAGAGATGTTGGATTCAATTAAAATTTAAAATATATTCATTAGCTTCATAAAAGGCATACAATTTCTGGTAGCATATAGAGAACTCAGGGTCGGGTGTAGGACTTTTTAAGGGGGAAAGATGTGAGGGTATAGGGTTAATATATCTTAGCTACTTTGGAGGAGAAAACTAATGAAGGGGGTATTAGCAGTAGAATAGACAGGAGGCATTTTACGTAGTTAAATACATGGGAGAACAATAAGAAGCATAGAAACAAACACCTATTTGCATTTAGTAAATTACATGTAGTAGAAATAGTAACACTTGGGAGGTTGAGAGAGGAAGAGAAGGAGGAAGAAAAGTAAAAAGAAAAGCAGAAGAAAAAAGGGGAGAGATAGAAAGGAATGACAAAAGAGAGAGGAAAGGAGAGAAGAAAAAAGGAAAAAAGAAAGAAGGTAAAAGAAAACAAATGCACTCTTAGAATTCTGTTTTCTTCTCTTCCAGTAGGCAGCATTGTGCAATCCAGGTTGAGTCTCTGCCCTCAGGGTGGTGGAAGCAATCCATGTGAGGTGGCTCTCCCTTACCTGCCTGGTGCCTCTCTAATCCTGGTCTCTTTGGGTTGCTCCCGGTCTCTATCCCCCTCCCCTCTCCTGCCCACCAGGCCACAATTGAAGTATCTCTTGTCTGCAGCCCTGGATTTACTCTGCATGTGGGTGCCCTGGCTGCCCTGTGCTCTTGATCAACTGAGCGCTGTCTCTGTGTTGGGTAGTCACCAAGTCATCACAGCTGTGGAGAGGAGGAGTTGGAAACCTGAAACCTGTTCTGTTGTATTTCCTCTGCTAGCCACGCCCACCGAGAGCTGGCGAGAGAAAGGTTTTGGTATATCACAGCTGAGGGAGGGAGAGTTGGAGATCAGGCCCCTTCTCAGTTGCACTTGGCGTGATATTCACGCCCACCAAGAGCTGGTGAGAAAGGTTTTGAGTTATCACAGCTGGGGAGAGGCAGGCTGGGAATCACACACCTATTCAGAGGCCAGTTGTGCTGTCTGCTACACCTGCCAAAAGTTGATGAGGTATGTTTCCCTGGCCCATTTCCATGCCAGGGTGTCCAGTGAGGTGGAGGTGTTCTGTTCCTACCCTATGTCCAGAATTCCGGTCCTGGGTCCAGTGTCGTGTGGTGGCACAGGTCTCAGTCTGACCCACTCCAGCACTGAATCAATTATAAGCCTGCATCTCAGTGCTGCCAGAACTCTGTGGGCCTCAGACTCTGCACGTCTGTGGTGGGTCCCAGCTCCACACTGTTGGCTGGCTTCCGCGGCAAAGAGCAACTCTGATTTCCCGGTGTCCTGGGCTGGGGTTGCAACAAGCCACTGTGTAAAATCCTGTCACATGCTCCATGAAGCTTAAATTTATGAATGAGAGCCCCTGTGAGAGGCTTTTCTATGGGATGTGTTTCTTGGAGGCAGCATATTATTGGGTCCATTTTTTTTTTAATTCAATATGCTAGTGTATGTCTTTTGATTGGTGAGTTTAGGCCATTAAAATTCAGGGTTATTATTGAGACATGATTTGTATTCCCAGCCATTTTTTTTTTGGTATTTAATGTGACTTGGTTTCTCCTCTGACTACATTTTCCTTTAGTATAATTCCTTCCTGTATTGATTTTCATCATTTTTTTTTTTCATTTCCTCTTCTTAGAATATTTTGCTGAGGATATTTTGTAGTACAGGATTTCTAGTAATATATTCTTTTAACTTTTGTTTATCATGAAAGGTTTATATTTCATCATCAAATATAAACCTTAGTTTTGTGGGATATAAGATTCTTTGTTGGCATCTATTTTCTTTCAGAGCTTGGTATATGTTGTTCAATGATTTCCTGGCTTTGAGGATTGAAAAATCTGAGATATGAATTGGTCTCCCCATATATGTGTCTGATTCCTCTCTCTTGCTGCTTTTAAAAATTCTATTTTTATATTGTATGTGAGGTACTTTCATTATAATGTGTCTTGGTGTAGATCTGTTGTAATTTTGTGCATTTGGTGTCCTGTAAGCCTCTTGTATTTGGTTAGCCAATTCATTCTTCATACCTGGAAAATTTTCTGATATTATCTCATGTAAGAGATTGTACATTCCTTTGGCTTGAAACTCTGTGCCTGCCTCTATCTTAATAACTCTTAGATTTGGTCTTTTTATGCTTTCCCATAATTCTTTGATGTTCTGTTGATGCTTTCTTACTATGTTCACTGTGTGATCAACTTTATTGTTGAGATTGTATACTTTGTCTTCATTATCTAATGTTCTTTCTTTCAAGTGATCTAGTCTGTTGGTTATGCTTTCTATTGAGTTTTTTATTTAATTGATCGTATCCTTCATTTCAAGTATTTTTGACCCCACTTTTTTTCAGGGATTCTATCTCTCTCTTGAAGTAATCTTTTGCTACCTGTATTTGCTCTCTTATTTCTTTGTTGTAGTGATCAGTTTTTGCTTGTATTTGCTTATTTAGATTATTCTTTAATTCACAGATCATTTTAATTATGAATCTTCTGAACTCCTTCTCTGACATTTCATCAACATTGCTGTCCATAGGTTCAGTAATTATACTGTCCTGGTTTGAGCACTTTCCTCCCTTGTTTTTTTTATGTTGTCTATGTGTCGTCCTTTCTTGCATTGTAGATCTGAGATATTACAGTTTCTTCCCTATATTCTTATAGTACCTGTAGAGATGTCTGTACCTCACCTTGACGTTGGGCTTCCAGATCCTGCTGGTGTCCCTCAATGGATGCTACTGCATCCTGGGTCTGGGACCTGCATAAGTTGGAGTGGATGAATCTGGGCTACTGGGCTTGACATCCTGCAGAAGTCTGCTGTTAGGAAGGGGTGATCCTATGCCAAGGGCTATGCTCTGGCAGGTGTAGCAGACAGCACAACTGGCCTCTGAACAGGTGTGTGATTCCCAGCCCTCCTCTCCCCCACAAGGGCAGAGGTGAGCAGGGCCTACTGAAATCCTGGATCCCATGTGGGCTGTTGTGAGCCCTCTGGGCTATATCTTGGCTTTGGTGGTAGTGCACTGCTTTAAACTGTCTTTAATTCTTCAATTGGCTTAATAATACAAGTATTTCTAGCTTAGCTTCACTTTTCTTTTCTAGTTGTATATGTTTAAGGAGTACATGATGCTTTAATATACTTTAGCATAGTGAAATGTCTTTGTTGTCAAATAAACTAAGGTGTCCATCATCTCACATAGTTTCTGTTTAAATACTAGTATTTCTAATGGTGTAGTCAAGAAACTCTTGAGAAGAGCCTTTCAAGATAGCAGCAGTGTTATCAGTTAAGGCATACATCTCTGCCAGCCATTATTCTCCACATGTATTGTTTGAATTTTTTGCTTCTTAGGAGGCCCCAAGAAATATAGATACATCTTCAGAACTAGTTAAAACATGTATTGTATTCCCTACTCTATTTTGATGGATTTTCAATATTAAGACTCTTTTCACTAAGAAATTCTATTTCTTCCCATGCATTTTTTTTAATGCAAGTGGTATTGGAGAAAAAAATGAAATACCAAATATGTGCCTTTTGCAGTCCTCAGAGAATTAGTAAGGGCCTTCAGGAGGTTAGTAGCATATTCCCAGTGGAAAAAAAAAAAAAAAACTGAGAGATTGTTTACCCTGCTCTCGCTGTAGGGGGCCTGTCCCAGGATGTCCTTGTGTCAGACTTAAAAGGGACAATTGGATACACAACAGACATTTCACTGTCCATTGGTTCTGTTATTATAGTGTTGTGGTTTGTTTTTTTCATGTTTTCTATGTGTCAGTAATAAACCAGTCTGATTCCCTCTTAAATTTGGGAGCCATCTCACCATAAAGACATAAAAAGCTAATTTTGGCTTTACTATAAATTACTGTGAATTCCAAATTTTCTTGGAATGCCTGCCTGTGCCTTGAACTCACCCATGCCTGGCCTTTCCTAACCAGATAACAATCCTCCCTGAGGCTCTAATGACCTTCATAAGTTCTGATGTTAGGGCCAGCAAAAATATAAACTAGCCTTTGTGTTGTGCTCATCAGAGTTTTGTTTTCTGTAAACTGCCCCCCTCCCTTGTGTAACTTTCGGGGCTATAAAGCTGGCTGCAAGAAAAATGCGGTGCTGTCTTATTCCTGTGTTTTTTTTTGTTGGGAGAGGCAGCCAGGCCTGTCAAAATAATAAGCTTGCTTTAATTGGATTTTAATTGGAGTCAGTGGTCTTTTCTTTGTGTCATGGTCTAACATCAGCCAGAGAGAAAACATAGCAGGTGCTACTTCCAACCCACGGCCTTCATGTCAAAGCATTGAGGACTATCTGGCTGAGGTGAGTTATGCTTCGTTTATCTTTTGGGTTTCAGATTTCTGCTTTGTCTTGTTTTAACTTTGTTGAAATACTGAGTTGTTTATTTTGCTTATGAATGTTAAGTGAAGGTCACAATAATCTATAACTCTAAAGAATTGCAAATAGATTTTTCAATTTTCATAAATTCTCTGGAGTTCTTATTTTTAAGAGACACTTGTTAACTTTATTCAGCTGAAATGGTATTTTTAACTGTCCTTTCATCATGAACTTGAAGTAGACTTTTTGATTGAATTAAATGTTTAACTAAATAAATATTGGTTTAGAGCTTTGATGGAGTTTTCATGATCTACTTAACTCACAGAAAAAGAGTGCAGGCCTGTGTTAAATCAGGCCTCACTCTGAGGTTTTCTTTTGTCTTTGCATTCAAGTGAAATCAAGAGAAGAGCAAATTTATAAAAATAAAAAATGTAGTCAAATGTGCTGAAAAAGGGAACAAATTAAATAATTATAAGGTCCTAGCTAGCTGATGTTTTTTGTCCATCAGCTTGTTAGCTTACATGCATATTTTTTTCTGAAAAAAAGAAAAAATTAAAGGCCTCAAAATTGAAGAAACTCTCAACCAAGAAATTGAAACACTATATACCACAAAAAATTAATTCTGTAAATTGTTAAAGATGATATGAATATAAGTTACTCTCATTCATTCATGCAAGAATATATCAGGCAGTGTATCATTTAATAAGACATTGATGAATGAATGCATAAGTGGAGACACAATGCAAAGAAATACAAAGGAATAGGTTTTTTTGGGGGGGGACATTTTCTATTAGTTTTTCTGGGAGAAAGACATGTTTATTTTTTAGTGCTTATAAATAGGTTGAAGAATCCCTGAAAGTTACTCTAATACTTCCTAGATATCCTTGCAGAGCATTAGTTTGCCAAAGCATGCAAATGTTAACAGGAGTACAAAAAGTATTGCTCTATTGAGATGCAAAGTCGGGTCTCTGTCATCCCTGCAGAATGCCTTCAATGGGGAAGGGAGGAAAGGGAAAAGAAAGATACCGAGGAAGAAGGTTGATCAAATTATTTTATCTGCATGTTGACTATGTCATTATACATTCCACTAATATCTGTGATTATAATGCCCCCAAAGATAGTATTCACGTCATTTCATTTTGAAAAAGAGAAGACAAGCCTTGGAAGCCTGTCAGTCCAAGAAATTTGCCTTCACATTTAAACTGTTTAAAGGCTTTGGACATCACAGGATTTTTATCACCTCAAAGTACTTAGTATGTTCAGTATTCTCTTTTTGACCTTGTTTCAGGAATCAGCAAGAAAACAGGGTTTTTATGAAGAACAGTCCAGATGGGGTACACTTTGAAGCATTTCCACATGTTTGTAAACACATAAGTGTAATTAGCAAAATGTTTCAAAAACTTTGGTCCCAAATAGTGAGAATAAATCTGTTACAGTTAAACAGCTACATATTGTTTACAAATATAAAAAATCACAAATGAAAGAAACACAAGTTTAAATTGGCTCTAAGTAATATTTATACCGTATGTGTGTGTGTATGTGTGGTTATAGTGATGGAACTCATGGATGCACTATCCCTGAGAAACATTCATACTCCTTTATAATTTTGGTTTTCTGGGCTCGCCTCAAACTTGCCATCCTTTTACTTCAGCTTCCCATGTCAATGGGATTATAGGCATGTGCATAGCACCTAGCATTATTCTGTCTCTTAAGTGAATTTTCTGGAATCTTTGTGTATCCATGTTAATGAAGAGATGTTTAGTCATATTCTACATAACAATATTTTGAAAATTTATCCAGTAGAATTTTCACATGAGGCTATGATAATACCTCTTTCTTCACATATGTATTTAATTTAGTGGGCAGAAAAAAACAATAGCATTGAAAAGATGTTAGATGTTCAATTTTCTGAAAGTAAAGAATGAAAAGTTTATATTAAGGAAAACAACATTTAAGTGAAAAACTTTATTAGAAGTTTCTAAAGGACAGAGTTTTGCTAAGAATCACACTGTATTGCCATTTAAAAATAGGATTTGAATTGTTGCCTGTTAGTAAGCTAAAGCCAGCACCATATGAAATAACTTATATTTAATAGATCAGTGTGGATTGTAGAGTTTAACTACATTGTACATCCATATTCTCTATCTAAACTTAAAATAAGTAGGAATTTATTTTGTTTGTGTAATTATTTTAAGCCATCTTCAGTTAGTTCTAGTCCCTAGTTCTAGTTTTATTTTAAAAGCTACATTTTCTAAGTAATATATCATTTCTATTATAATCTCTCTTGTTTGAAAATATAAATAATAATTGCCTTATTTCAGATGAATGAGAAGTTGGCCAGAGACTTTGGCAACACACCTTCTTTAGCTGAATTTGGAATCATTAATTGATTTCTGAAAAAAAAAAAAAAAATAGCAGTTGGCATGGCTTTCCTTGGATTGGTGAATAGATTTCTATGTGAATTAAATCGTTTTTTTTTTTTTTGCAAACATCAAATGAAAATTTAAAAAAAAATCCCAATGAAGAATAAACTCATTTATCATTTACTCACATTCATGGCCTGTAAAGGCTCAGACTGTCTGTACATACCTTTTTCTAGATTGACTTTTTTTTTCACTTCTGCCACCACTATGAAAACAAAGGCATCACCCGCTTCTATCTGGTGTAGGGCCAAAAGCCCAAACTCATCTGGGAACACTTGGTCAAGCATTTCAAATACCCTGACATTGACTTTGTCATTGGTTTTGCTCTCAACAAAAGTTCCAGTTTCCTAGCAAGGATTTCAGATATCAAAACCAATTGAATTCTCATCAGGTCCTTCAGCTTATCTCTTGCACACACCCTACTCTGCCCCTCTGCTCTAGCTTCAAGTCACGCTGTGATACTTGTATTCCTCACCTCTCACTCTTTGCAGGGACCTCTACTCTCATACTTCCTTTTTATTCTTCACGTGTCACCTCAACCCCAAAATCTATGCCATTGACCTAAAATGGGGACAGAAGTCATTTCTCTGTCCCAATAGTACCCTTGTTTTATACCTCTCATAGCACCCATGACTCTGCAAGGAAATATTCTGTCCTTGTTTTTTTTAACTTAGGGGATCTGATTGGATCACCTTCATTTTGTCACTCAGAGATTGCCAAATTCTTTAACATTTAAGGCTGTTGAATTCCTGAATGCAGGGTGGAAAACCTGAAGTTCTGATCCTTAGCCACATTGATAATTCAGAATGCAACGCTGAGAAAATTGTATTTCAGAGTTACCTTGTAGTCATGCACACATGGTTTTCACTCTTATTAACATGGATAATTAACTTTTTGTTTACTGATTCTTGCTTAGTTAACTATGAAATGTTGAAATGAAGAATATAATTATTTTTCTTTCTGATTGCTACAGAATTTGTGTCTTGACCCACTAGAACTTCTGCCTTAAAATCTACTAATAAGCCAAGAAAACATCTACTTTTGGAAACATCACAGGAATGCACAGAAGTTTTAAGCAGAAAAAAATTGATATTAATGATAACATTGTATCTGTGAGACCATTGACATTTAAATTTTTACCCACTGAATGTGTGATGTGGAAACTTTATTAAAAGAAAATGTTTGTCACATAGATATGTGAGCAAATTCATACAATATTTGAAACTTTCTTTGCATGTATCACTAAATTGGAAGTACAAGTGTGAACCAGTATTTCAAAGATCTTAATGTCCTCAAACTGTCTAAATGCCAGATATTTAAAAGGCACTGAAACAATCGAGTGATCAATATTAACTGGATGGATCTAAATATAACATTAATGATGGATTAGTTTTATGATACAAATTGTATCACCATATATGGACCTAGAAATTTATACAGACAGTATTTTGCTGGGCCAGTGCTTTAAAGTATTACAATTATTATACTGTCATCAAACTTAAATACTTTAATGGTTTATGCATTAACTTATATCCTTTTCCTGGTGAGAAACCAAATTCACTTAAGGCTTTTCACATTTTCTCTTTGTTCATTTATACAATTTTGATGTTTTGTAAATAGTCTTAATATTATAAAAGTTCCAGCCTCTAGTATAAGAAACATTTGCCCCCTGAGCCACTTGGGAATAAATTGCTAACATAACCACCATTTGTGATTACTTTAGTATTTCCTACAATTCGGAACATACTACAAAAGTACAACACACACACAAAAAATGATATTAATGATAACATTGTATCTATCTTCATAACTGATACATTAACACTAATACATTCTATTATAATATATTCTATCATCAGATTCTTTCGAGTTTTGCTACTTTCTTAATGACTTGCTATCTTGTTTCTTTTTAGTGCTAAATGATATTCCATTGTTTGGATGTACCATTGTTTATTTAACCACTCACCCAACTGAAGAACACCTGGAATACTTTCATGTTTTGGCAAATAAAACTGCTTTCAACATCCAAGTCTGTTTTTGTGTTGATGTAAGTTTTAAATTCCTTTTGGTAAATACCAATGAAACTGATTGATACATTAATCATAGAGTATGAGAATGTTTCATTTTTTTAAAAAGACACTTTGGATTGTCCTGCAATGGCTACCCATTTTGCATACCAACAAGAATATAATGAGAATTCTTATTGTTTCCCATATTCACCATATTTGGTGTTTTCACCAAATTACTCTGAATTTTGATTTCTCATCTTTTCAGGTTGGAAGTCTCATAAGAAAGCCCAGAATGTAGTAGCTTTCCAAAGAGATTATTAACTGGTAAAAATGGGTTAATTTATTATTTCATTTATTTTATTTATTGTGGATGTCAAATATTAAGAGATATGTTGGAGCTAAAATATATAACCATAAATTTGAAGCATTTAATTATTTAATGTTTTTTATTTAAATACAGGAGAAAATTAGAAAAGAATGATAATACATTATCATATGTGTGAAGATAGAAAGATAAAAAAAATGTAAAGGGTCTGAGACTAGATGCTTAGTCTGAGAAGGTATTTCAGAGAGAGATCACTTACGTTAATTTGCTGTCTCAGTGTATATATAGGATATTTGCAGTTTAGGTCATTCAGTCATCTTCTTTTAAAAATCCATTGTCTTCCTTGGAGACTTCACATACAATAACAAGGCACTTGTAGATAACATAAATGTCATTCTATTTATCTCTCTTATTAAGTCATGTTCGCTTTCATTCAACAGTTATCTAGAAAATCAAGGGTGACTTGAAGGGTACTAGAACAATTCACTTAATTTAATCAGAAAAATCTTAGTGTTAATAATGTATAAAATGAATCTTAAAAATATGTAGAAATTTGTGAAGTGGGTGTTCTAGGAAAACAAAGATGTATAATAACATGAACAATTAAGTCTTCATCATAATCCCATTGTCCTTCTTTATGGCAATGTTTTGATGAACTATTTTAACTTAACACCTGTGATACCATAGAGCACAGAAATATTCTATAAGCAAAGATGTCATTCTCATTTGTCTACATTGTTCTCTTTTATAAAAAGATTTAACTCATTTTAATCAATCTTGAAAAATATTTAAAGTAAAATATTTTAAAGTAATATGTCCATAGTATTGATCCAAGGTGAATTAGTGGCCTCCTGTGATGATGATAAAGGAAATCTACACTATGAATGCATGCCATTAAAAGCTTGTATTTAAAGACCCATGAGTTGGCATTATTTGTAGGAGTATTCTAGATGTCAGCAAAATTGCACTGCTGGATTCCATTATTTTAAATAAATCAAATAATAGAAAATCACACATAATGAAAACTAGTGGAATAATATGGCTTTTTAAAAATCTCCAAATATAATAACATGAAAAACAAAGGTAAAGATATGGGAGGCACTAAAGTACATAGTTATTAGAAAAGGGGAAAAAAAGAAAGTGCAAAAGTGCTGAATAGTTTTCTTATTGTTCCACTTAGGAGAGACTATTTCATTACCAATTGTTAGAAATGATTCAGAATATTTTCTATATAAGTTCAGTGCTCTCAGCATCAATTAAGTATTATCAAAAATTGTTCGACATGTTTTCAGACTTAGAAGAAAATGTTGCTCATCAGTATTATGAGTGTATCTTCTAATAATCCCTTTTATGAAAAGTAATTTTCATTTGAAAATTATATTATCCAAAATAAATGCTTTATCATTCACTAACCCATTATTCCCCAAACGAATTGCATATTGGCTAAAAACTCTTTATAATTTTGTGTAAGAAGAAAAAGGTTTCCTGCTCATGTTTAGAGATTCATTACATCCTGAGTTAAATGCCTATAAATTACTCCTTGTCTTCCTTAATCTGCCAATCTGCATATTCAGCAACTTCTTGAAAAAATACCAAAGAGCCATAATAAACTTATATTAATAATTAAAACTCAGATACTTGTTTGTCTATATCACTTGTTAATTGAATCAACTAATTCAATACATCAATATTGAAGTATTGGTCCTAGTATTTTCTATCATACTATAACTCTTTCACATTTTTATTCTGGTTTTAAGTCATCCACTATTTTATGTCTAAATGAATTGATTTCCTATAACAGTGAGGAAAATAGTCTACTAAATAGTCTACTAAAATAGTCTACTAAAGCAACACAGACCATATTTACATCTTTTCTGAGAATAGACTAACTTAATTGTACAAAAAATATATGAAGGGGCATCCTCTTTTGTTTGGTTTATAACTTGGAAGACAGGAACTTTCAGGCCACATAAATTGTTCAGCCATTGAGATTGATGATGACAGGCTTCTCTCCTATCTTTCCTTGGTTCACTTTCTGGTACTCATGCAAGTAAGTCCTTTGTGCTACACTCAGCATATGATCTACAGAATTTATTCTTCTGGAGCTAGAATTTATTTTCTAAACATTTTCATCTTTAACTCCATATTGTAAATCCCACTGTCTTGTATCTAATTGTTCTGAATTTTGCTATGCAACTAATTGCTACTTTGTAATAAAATAATAACTATATTATTGTCCATTCACTTAAAATTCCCTCTCCTTTTACCTTATTATATGTGATTTCTCCTGTATTTCATCTGAAAGCTTCAATAACTAACTCCAGATAATTTTGTCTTTTGGTAATTAAGTAAATCATGAGGATAGGGAAAATACCTGTGTAATTCTCAAAGACAGACATAGCATAGAAATGAACAACAATTTATGGTTAAGTGAACTAAGAGATGTTAAGATCCTTGTGTGGGTATATTTGTAATATATAGTCTTGAAAATCCCAAATTTAATATTCATCATTCTTAGTTTTTAAATCAAGTCTTAAAATATATTGCATTTTGTACTTTTGCCACAATAAACATCTTAGCATTTATTGAATAATTTTAACAAGCAAATCATGATCTCTGCATGATATCCTCTACTTTGTTATTTTTTCTTTTATTTTCATTCTCTTTTGAGTGTCATGTTACATTTTATGAGAAAATAAAGTCTTGAAAAGCAATTTAAAAATGAGTTCATTAATATTTAAGTGAAGATATCTAATAAAAGATATTTACTGGGTCATGAGTCATGAGTTTTAATTAGAAAAGAAAAAGTATGATAAATATTAAAATCATCAACACAAGTTTCACTCATATAGTCTATATGTCATGTAAAACCTGTATAATCTTTATGTCACCTTATTTAGTTAGTCCACACTGGTCATATGGTAAAAAAAAATCAAGCCTTACAGTTTATTAGTAATTAAATTATGTTGATTACAGTTATGTGGCCCTAGAGGTTTTCACTGAGATTCCAAAGGGAAGCCCGGGAGGCCAGGCAGTGTGTGGTATGAATCAGGGAGAGTGAAGACAAAACTGCTGTATAAAGCTAAGATCAGAGACGCCTTCCTTTCCGTGCCTTTTGGGAAAGAAACGTTCACCCTGTGCCTGTCATGGCATTTTATATAAGAAGTATGAACATTTCTTTCGATTAAAACAGGAGATCACATCTGAATTTACTGGCTGTTGAGAACTTATTGAAATCAATGATTAAACTATGGAGGCCAAGGCCTAATTAATTGGGGGTTACTTTAGATTTGACTGTATGGCTATGGTTGTCAGGATCCACAAAACCTCATTTGTCAAATGAACATGGATTATTAAGGTTAGTTCAACCCCCTTGAACATTGTAGCTTTGCCACTGAAAATAGCAGCTTTTCTAGTAAAAAAAAATCCACCCAAACTTCACTATCTGAAGAAAAACCACTAGGATATAAAATTCCCAATTTAGAGAGGATTCCTTTGATTACCAAGTTTTGGCTTAAGGATATAAAACTATATCCCACGGTGTCTACTGTAGATGTTCAGACTCAGCACAAGCTTCTCTGGGGGTATATGTGGCTAATGGTTGTTCTCAATGAGGAAAATTGTGAGAAAGGACTATTGCAAATTAGCAACACCTTCACCATGGACCATGAACCATGGAACATCGTGGATATTGATTGCTCACCCATGGGAGGCCCATTCTCTGATGAGACCAACTGGATTCAAAATGGTAATCTAGATTCTGCTCTCCAGATTGCCTTGATCATTGTATGAATTAGTCATTATATTAATTATAGGTACCTCTCCAACATCATAGATTGAACACACAAGTATAGACTCTCTTTCTGCTGCAAGATTCTACCACTTCATTACAGATTTGTGACCCTGCCAACTGTAGACCTGGTTTTCTCAAGAGAAGGATTTTATATTCCAGTTGGCATGACTCCCTACCCCTGTGAAGCAGTCTATTACATTGGATATTTCCCTTCCCAGACCTGTCAGTGTAATACTAATATTACCAACACATTTTCATGTTGTGGGATTGCTGTTCTGCTCCAGACAGATTACTTTAGACACACTATTGCCATCCTTAAAACTAATCTGTGTGATGAATTCGGCTTTCCAGGTTTTTCAAAGTTTCACATGATGATAATTTTATTGTAACTGACAATATTTGTTATTGTTATTATTTATTTTTATTATTTTCCGATCAACACATATTTTCATGTATATATTAATAACCTGCTCAAGGTAATTAGAATATGCATCATTTTTAGCTTATTGAATTTCTTTATAGTGAGTACATTCAAGATCTTCTCTTCTATTTTCAGATATATAATGCACTATTATTTATTATTTTCACACTGCTGTGCCTTAGAATACCAGAATTGATTCCTCCAAAGTAATATGACATTTTACTAGTTAGATCTCTTTGCTTACACATTTTCCTATTGAGTGTGAAATTAGTGGGAACACCCCAAATTATTATGCCTGATTGTCAGTGGAACTTCATCACAGGCATTCTTTTAGGATTATAGGAAGTTATCAGTTTTAGGGATTCCCAGAGTAACCATAGGTCTGCTAATTTAATTTTAGTGTCGTCAGCTTCCTTGTCTCAAAAGGGTAGTTCTGATTTTAATTAAATTATTTCTGAATGGATAATATGTTTTGAGATTA